CCCCCCCGACGACGGTACAATCATCGATGATTTTATATTGACTCTTGTTTATTTCTTTTTTTTCTTGTTTGTTTTTGTGCTTAATATTGACAATTAAAAGTATAATCATATTATTGTTCTTTTGTTTTCTCGAAGCTTCTTCGTATATCTCTCTTCTCTGAGATATACCTACACTCATTCTTTCAATACATTTCGCTTATCATTTCAACTCGATTGTTCCTTACGATGACTCTAACTTGTGTTAGATACTTGCTTGTCGAGTTCTTATTCTCATATCTACCGTGTTCATTGAATAACATATACGATCTTCATCCATATTCAATACCATTTATTTCATTGCTGTCATTCTACCGTAACTAATTATTGTCGCACCTGGCATTTTGGATAGTTGTTCCTCAGCTGGCAAAATTGAGGATGTTACAAGTGGCGATCTCAGCAGGATGGGCGTGTGAGTTCTGTTTGCCGCCAGTTTACTAACCATTATTTTGCACAATTGCTTACTTGAAAGTTTGAATCACCATAGATCCCTTCGCCATCACAAATATTATCTCCATCATCAAATTCTATGTCATCAATGGAACACTGTTATTTTGATGAAATCGATGATTTAATTCGATCATCTTGCCATTCAGCTACACCAGCAATTACTGATTCTTCAAAAGTTGATTATACTACTCGAAACACAATCAATAGATCTCAGAATATCAGATTCGATAATATTCAAGATCAATTAAAAATATTTTCCGCACATCTTGCACGTGTCGAACAATCAGCAACACCGCTCCAGACCTAATTTAAGTCAATCAGTTCAGATCGAAAACTCTTCAACTATTTTGTGAGAACGTTTTCAAGTACAAGAAGGAGTTAATCGTCTTAAATTAGAGCTTGTCATAGCACACTCACAAATTAATAATAATCAATCAGCATCACACTCAACGAGGGGTATCCAAGGACTGAGGATTAGGAATTCCTCATCGGCCCCCCTACAGTTTCTTGCATACTGAGGGTAAAAATGTGAAATATTCACAATAATTTTTGTTCTTACACTCATTTTCACTTGAAAAATTGTGAGAATCAATGATTTCATGCAAAAATTCTTTTTAAAACAACAATATCGCAACTTTCGTGAATGGCGGAACTGTGAGAGAACCTATAGTTGGTTCCCATTTCGTCTAGGAATTATCACAGCGGCACTAACAATTCCTCGACACATTAGGAATTCTTATTTCTCAGTCCTTGGACACTGCTGTGTTTTTGAGATTTTCATCAACTTTTTGTTGTTCAATATTATAGATTCAATGGTTTGTGCTTTACAAAAAAGTTCTCAAGTTGGAAGATTAATGTCAGCATCCAAACGAGAAGGAATGTCCAAGCGAAGATTCTGAAAAAATTTATGTTTCAACCATTGGTCATTGCATTTTGGATGAATTTCGATCATAAATATTTTTAAACGTTCAAAGTAATCCAACATATGCTCGGTATCGCCTTGAAATAAGAGGCGACCTTCTGTTCGAAAATGTTCAGCAGTGTCCAAGGACTGAGAAATAGGAATTCCTAATGTGTCGAGGAATTGTCAGTGTCGCTGTGGTAATTCTTAGAGGAAATGAGAATCAACTATAGGTTCTCTCACAGTTTTACCATTCACGAAAGTTGCGATATTGCTGCTTTAACAAGAATTTTTGCATGAAATCATTGATTCTCACAATTTTTCAAGTGAAAATGAGTGTAAGAACAAACATTATTGTGAATATTTCACATTTTTACCCTCAGTATGCAAGAAACTGTAGGGGGACCAATGGGGAATTTCTAATCCTCAGTCCTTGGACACCCCTCAAGTTCTGAGGAACTTTTTTCTCTACAGTCCGATAGACACAAGAAAACCCTATTTTTCTATGCTATTTGATCGCACTTTAACTAATATGATGATAATAAAGTTTTCATAAGACGTTTTTCTTTTACATGTCTGTTCGTTGTACTAGCTCACAATGAGTCAGATTGTTTAGTCTTTTTAGTCCACTAATGCATTATACTAACAACCAAAGTATGCTATAAGATACAGCATGAAAAGCTCTACAATTTCCATAAGACCACTTATTTTCTAGTTGCACTTTTTCTTTTCAAAATTGGCAAGGTTTTGAGTGATCGAAGTTTGATCGTTGTAAAAACTGATCGTATAGAATTTTCCTTTCTTTCAAAACAATTTTAATAATCTTTACTATGTAGATTGTAGAGCTTTTCACGCTGCATCTTTTGGTGTATTTTGCTTTTCTTGTAATAAAACATATTAGGCAACAAAATGATCAACAACAAAAAATGAATTCGTCGTGTATCAAAAACATTATCCTTTTCGTGGTTGAAATTTGGTCGCTGAAAGTTTAGTCTATTTTAAGAACAAAATCTGCAACTAGAAAATAGATGGTTTTATGGAAATCGTAGAGCTTTTCCCGCTGCATGTTATGACATATTTTGGTTGTTAATACAACTAACAAGGAAATCGGAAACTACGATGTACAACTTACAACCAGGAGCCATGTAAACGAAAAAAGTCTTATGAAAACTTTATTATTATCATATTAGTTAAAGTACGATCAAATAGCATAGAAAAAAAGATCTTTCTTTTCTCTATCAGACTGTAGAGAAAAAAGTGCCTCAAAACTTTCTATAAGAAATTTATATACCTATGCAACTACTTTTGGACTGAACTAAGTAATTAGCGCTTTTTCATCAAGATATACCTATCCGTCAGCGTAATGAGCTGGTAGTATTAAGAGAGTGTGTTCACAATTAGAATTACACTCTTAAAGCGTTGTGAATCCTAAAAATCCTATTGATCTACTGTAAATCCTTTTAAGTTAAATATTGGGGACAAGTTTGGAACCTAATAGTAGAACAGATATCTATTATTGTGCGGGACGGGAGAGGGATTGCATGGCATTTTCTTGAATTGAAAATTTAGTCACAATAGATCGATTAAATTTCATATCTCAATATTCATTAACATCAAGCTAACGGAATGATTTGTTTCAAAAAAAACAAAAATGAATGAAAAGACAAACATACGCTAATGGGTTAACAAAATCGGCGAAAATATTCAAGCCAAGACGATAATATCAATAATATATTGTGAGATAATCTGAATAATTGTCCTATTAATGACTGTAATCAGAAATGAAAAAAATCTACGATAATTCAATACTAGCTATTCAGTGTTTATTTGCTACGTCTATGTTAAGTCATATGCAACAGAAAAGTCGCTCTAATGATGTTGAAATCTTTCGTTCAATAATGTAAGATTTTATTGACTTTGACATATTCTATTTGAAAGAGAAAAGTTCAAAGAATATCTACAGTAAGCAAAATAATCCTCGCTAACCGTCATGCTTTTGAACTGCTTCTGTTTTTAATTTCAACGAGAAAGAAAATCGTTCGTGTAGAACACTAGAAATGGTACAATAAGAAAGCTTGCAGCAGTCTTGCCTTCTTCATTATTACAATAATCTTTGAGATATTCTTTTCAATGCAAGTGGTCAGACTCATGCAAAGAAAGTAGGAAAATTTCGTCATAACGACGATTGTATCATTAGCACAGGTAGAAAGACGCATCAATACCAAGCTATTAACTCAGAAAAAAATATTTGTGTATAGATTTTTTATTCGCTTCAGGGATTTCTATAAAATGAGGCGATTGTATGACACTCATTGCTATTTAGACTCTTATTCAATCACTGATGTTTGTATAGCTACGCTTGATGTGAATATTCATATTTATGGATCATGTAACATTGTCATCGTAACAACAAATCCTTTTTTTTTATAAAAATCATTAAAATAATAGGGAATATTCACACGATACCTGCAACGATGCCAATTTCTACTATCCATTTGTTTATTACTTTTATTTATTCATTGTTTTTTCATAATAGAAGTTAGAATCATTTTTATGCTTACTTCTTTCATTTGATGAATATGGCTGACCTCATAGAAACATAAAAAATATACTTTACCTTGTTGCTTGTCATTATTCCTACACTCATAAGAGACACATCAATAATTGTGTGTGACAACTCGATGTGTACGTTGTTAATATTCTTATGAAATACAAGATCTTTCGTTAATTTAAACAATTTTACAGCTGAAGGAATGATCTTGACTGAACGGATAGGATTGTATTTGTAAGAATCTATTTTTATTTTATTTCAAGTTGAAGAAACCTTGGTCTTTATCAAGATAATAGAGAAATTGTATGGCTGCTTATTTTATCTTCTGTTTTTGTTCAGACTTAGCAATTAAATAGGATATGAATGAACTCTGAAAATAATTACATAATATCATTTTTTTCTTTCATTTTCACTTCACTTTGCAGCATCTTTTACATACTTTCTATTTGTTAATATTTTCAATCATTGACATGAGTGACTATCTGTTTTTGAAATATATCAAACTGCAGCTTTAGGACATATACAGGATAAAATATCCTTATCAGAGAGCCAGACAGAAAGAAATCAAATTTTGTTATGCAGACTTTGAGATAAAATAAAGAGTTTTGTTGACTCGCCTTAGTTTGTTTCGTAGTTTAATATGATATGAGTTGCTGTTGCGGTACGCCTACAATGAGGTAGATATACTCGCTCTCATTATGTATTCTGATTATCAAATACAACAATCGGTGTTGTTTTTGAAATTGTTCTTTATATCAAGTTTTTACTTATTAATAATTTTGGTTATTTTCACAGCGACATTCTCACAGGACATTTCAAGTTAGTAAACGATTACCTTGCTTATTTCATAATTGATGTTCATGTTGAAGTGTACATAACGTCTTTACTTATGGCCTTTTTATCCATTTAAGTAAATCATTGCTGTAAGTATCCAGCCTCACTATTAATAATTTTATTTTTCTTCTTTTTCATGAATATACTTTTTTGTCCAGCTTGATTTTTTCGACCCTTACTGAATATCATCTTGACATAATGCTCATGTAACTTATTGTCTCTCTTTTCATATAGATAATTCAAAACAAATATATTTTGTTAATCATAAACACAAACGAGTCTTTTAATAGGAAAGTCTACTTTCAGTTATTTACTTCTATCATAAAAATCTTTTACTTCAACAGAGGCGATTTCAATATACCTGAAGTAGCCAATTATTATCAATGATGACAGTATCACAAACTAACCACGATAAACTTTATAATATTTTCAATCTAATTGCCTTCGAGTGTCTGTCCTGTCTAGCTATCACACTATCTAATATCATATATTTTTGTTCTGTTCTTCTTGACATACCTACACCATATATTATCGTTTGCATTTTACCTGGATTTTTCCTGTCTCTCTTCATGCATCACGACTTTATGGATTATTCCTAGTTTTTGTTGTTGTTGTTGTTACCGTCCCACACCCTATTGAGTAGCTTTGCATATTTAGTACGTTTTCGTAATTAGCAAGATATAGCTCAGTCATGTATCCTACATACTAATGCCACTTGTTTTATCTGTAAGTTATGACTATATTTAAGTTCATTTTTCTGGTCACATTGAAGGCGAAGATGAAGCAGTGAACAGGTACAGCTCGATATCATTATTATGTTTCCATATATATGATAATATAAAGTAGTTTAATTTGACATAATTTTATTCTCTTCTTTTATATTATTTTATTTAATATTTAAATTATGTCAAATATATCAACCTTCTTAACAAAACAAGAAAGTAGTTTAATAATAGCATATCTATCCTATCATTCGATTATGCGGGATAGCTACGTTAGAATCAGGTAAGAACTTAGAATTCTGAAGTAGATACAGTATCGTTGCATTTTCAAGGATTTTGTCGCAATAGCTAAAAGTATCACAACAAGAAAACAATTTCTGTTCATGGATTCATAAATTTGCTTTTTGATGTGATACTTTTAATTTTTCTTTTAGACAATATCATATAAAATACAGCAAAGAGTCATTCGGATCAGAAACGTTGGCTGGTTAAAATGACATGATTAAAAACTAATAAAGTAAAAGTATCGTGGAATTTCAAAACAAACATGTCTTGTTTTGGCTTATTTTACGATTGAGATAAAGTTTTTTGAGTTTTCACTATATGATGCATTGGATAACAATCTCGATATGTTGTTGAGATTACAATCGGTATTTTCACTTAGAAATAACCGCTGTAGAAAAAAAGCATAGCTATAAAACTTCGCTTATCTAACTTATCGTACTTCAGCAATTTCGAATTCATTTTCGGTTTTTGTTCTTGGGGTTTTCAACCTTGTATAGTTAAAAAAAACACAGACAACAAGTGTTTAGGTAATATCTAGTTTATCATTCAAAATTTTGCGTACTGAATGGCTGTATCAGTCAAGAAACTCGTTTATCAGTAGACATACTAAAAAAAACGTTTACTCATATTTGTTGTTTCAGTTCCTTTTTCTAATTGTACTTTTATCTTAAATATGTAAAAAAAAAACCTTCACCTAAATCTAGTTTAACGCCTTCTCTAACACAACAGTTTCTCAACAACGACACGTATTTAGTATATTCATTTGAATGAATACTAAAATTTCATTACTAAATATTTTTTTTTGCGAGTTCAACTTTTCATATGTAAAAGATTTCAAAAAAAAGGTCACTATGACCCAAAATTGACGAAGCAGCCCTCTAGAACATGTTTTAGTTTGATGAGATTCTTAGAGAGAGAAAGAGAGAAAGAGAGAAAGAGAGAGAGAGAGAGAGAGAGAATCATTTTTAATACGGTACCATTATATTTTATTGTACCCTCAGATTTTAAATTGCATATATTTTTGTTTTGAAGAAAATAAACATAGTCCATAGATGTGAGCTGCTTAAAGAATAACTTAGATTCATTTTTGTAATTATGCTGATCTTTCTAATATCTTGTAGCAATTGAGTTATTAATTTCATTTTTATGTCTAACAAAATAGCACAGAAGAAACTAGTAGCAAATTTGAAATAGCTAAGAATTCTTTTGAGCTTAATTTAAAACAATTCACATCTAGAAAGTATGATTATTTTCTTCGCGTATATATTCAATTCAAAATCAAAACCCGACAAAAAGAACGTTGTGCTATTAATCAGTAGTATCTTAGTTTTGTCTAAATCCTTCGAAGAGTATTTGCAATTACATCTGTTGCCATGCCAAAAGATGAAACGTAAATTATTTAAAATTTTTTTTGTCGCGCGCGTTTCATCGAGTTTTACAAGTATATTTGTCGATATCATTTATAATTTTATTACAGACATCCTTATACCGGCGTTTACCTTCATTCTGTTATTTTCTTTCTACTACTACTTAGTTGAAGTTTTGTTTGTTCCTATGCATACGATGCTCTATTTGAAGAGTAAATATTATTACTGAATGATACCGATCGGTTTTCTTTTCAATGAAGCAAAATGGTGATTTATCTAAAATAAATCAGTGCTTCACCAAAAACTCCGAGTCGTTCGATAAGAATATTCTTTTTTAACCGACTGATGATAATTCTTCAAACAATGTACGAAATCGTTCTGAAGTCATAATTAGTAGTATAAACTAAAACGAATCAATAAATTCATATTGCGATATCAACTTATTATAGAGACGTCTTTCCTCCGAGATATACTCGGAAATAGATGTTTCTTTTGGAAGTGTAAATATCTTAGTAACTTATATATATTTTATTTCGGGTTCTACGAATAAAATTTCAGTTTCAAAATTGATCACCAGGCAGTAATCTATTGAAAAAACGCATAACTAAACGAATGATGACTGTAGAATCAAACCACAGCATACCTTTACTACTATTCGTCAATAATAATAAAAAACGTTATTGCCAACTTTTCCTCGCTAATGTACGTCATAGACTTTAGCCTCGATATTTATGAAAAATAAATCAGTTCGTATCTATAACTTCTGTGTGTGAAGATCAAACATCAATAGAGAAATTTTAGTTATGTAATATTTTATGTGTAGTCGACTTTTACTCTTGAACTTTGAATCAGAATTTACTATATCTATATAATTATTGCAATCGATCTATATTCGGTAAAACATATTTAGTAGTCTATTAATTCTGAAAATTTTCATATCACATAGTTGAATTCACATCTTTTTACGACCCAGGACAATGATTCCTGAAGCAGTATTCCGTGAATTTCCGGCAAAAACCTGCAAGAAACTCGCTGTTTCCGACCGGAGCCCACCGGGAATTGTCCGGAATTCGATGCAGGAATCCGGAAACCGTATCCGACTACCAGCTTTGACAGGTTCCTGTCGATTCCGGCCGGGACCGGATCCTTTCACCGGAATACTGCTTCCGTGAAATCTCCGGAATACCACAGAACCGGCCGTTTCCGGGACCGGAATGTTCGACCTGGGGAATAACCTTTCAGATCGAACTTTGACAGTATGATCTTTTGTACACATATCTGATGCGAATTGAAATTTACTAAAAATACGCTCTGTATTCTTAGATTCCCCGATCTTCAGTAGGAATTTCTTTTGATGGTCGATATATTTTTCAGCTAAAGTCTACTATATGCAAGAAATTTCGATTGAAACATGAATGTCAACCAGGAAGTTTATCCCATAAGTCATCTAGCAGACGAATTATTTCATTTTGTATATTAGCAATATAATCTTGAACAAGCAATGTCTGCCGATCTGAATATTTGTATGAAGCAAACCGATACAAATCTCTTTATTGAGTATGCGTCGAATTAAATAGTAGATATTTTTCAATCAACAGGCAGGGTTATTTCCACTATCTTATTCTCAGATAGACAATGAGATATCCATTGTAGAATTCTAAAAGAAAATCCATACCACTAATATTGATTTGTGTTGGCAAAGGTTGATCTTTGTTCATAGTACACTTCCATGATGTATCACATAAAGAAAACATATATGATACTACTCGCCATGGTTGAGTGGATATGTTATTCGACACATATTCACAAGGTACTGTGTTCAAACCACAGTATCACCAACCATGGAATAACCCTGAGCAAGTTACTAACGGCTAATTGTTCCGGATGACTCATCCGATAGCGTATCGATTATATCATTAGTCAGTATGCAGAGTCAAAACAATAACTTCAACATAGATGTTACGGCCACGTGATCCTATGATGATCGCCAACCCATATCATTAACGGGGAAAGCGTTGGACGAATGGGGTGCAGATACCGTCGTCTGTAAAAGAGAAAACACGATAGAACCTGGCTGCTTGTGGACCCTTTAGCGTCGGCCCCAACGGGCGATAAGCCTATGGGAGATATTATTATTATTATTATATATGATACTATATAAATGAAGATTGAAATCAAAAACTCCTCTGTCGCATATTTGCCGCCATAAACAACATTAATCTTATGTATCAATAAGTATTAAGTTTTGTCTAGGTTTACATATAAAGAACGACGGACGAGAAATAAAATTTCTCTAATTCAGTACACCTTAATGTCAAGGCTACTATCAGCGCGTCTCATGAGCATATTAGTTTGAATTTATTTTATATAGGTCTGTATATCGAAACAACTTTAATACTTCATTGATCAATCATGAAGCTTGATATAACAGATGGCCTGTATTATCAGGCAGGCTTATATAACATACATTTGAACTAATATGCTTCTGATAAACACTAGTGCTCGACTTAAAATAGTTGAAAGACTCTAGTGTATGACTTTGAGGTACAACACTTCAAATGTATTGTAGGAATAATTCTTGTTGTTGCAATTTCTGTCCAATAGAAACGTCACTTGTGATTCAGACATATCGTTTCCCAGTGTAAATACTCACCAATGCAATGAATAATTATTACGTACACAGGTATACTAGGTGTGAAAAACTTTATCCAGTACAAAATTTGTGACTAACACATGGGATATTTTTCTTGATAACGTATCCGAGTACGTCTGAGGAAAATTCCAATGCAACAAAATTCTGCTAAGCGGGGATCAGATTAATATAAATGCTTGCATTCAACTCTGTAGATTTCAATTGTGATTTTAAATGATGGGTGAATTCATTTTACCACTTCGTATTGTCGCCGAGCCTAAATCATCACACCGTGAAAGATATCTATGCGAAATGGATCCTAGCCGAAACAAGTCACAACGTTTTATTCGTGCTGACTTCAATCCGGAAAATTTAGATTATCCAACAATTGAAGTAAGCGAAATATAAGCTAGCTTTTCAAATATTTATCCATAATATTATTGTTAACTAGATACCAAAACAATGGGTTAGTGACAAGTTATATATTCGTGTAACTTTAATCACTGTATGGAGTCAGGAAGTGCCTGTGATATGCATACATCCATATCCAATAGATACACCCGAGTCTAATGTTATCAAAGATCCAGAAAGAAATACACTTTATTTTCCAATATCACAGGAAGAATTAAGCCGAGGACGTAAAAGGTAAAATAAAAATTATAAGTTTGCCATTAAAAATCGACTTTTTTATTTTCATGAAATTAGTTTCAAAATATCTCTTAGAAAATTAACACAGCAAGAACTAAGAAATTGCACATCATTATGTCTATTGAATAAAGGTAGAAAAATAAGAAGTTTGAGAATAAAAATATTATTCGCTGATCGATTTTTATTTTCTAGATGAAAAAGATATTCAACGGCTTAGTGATCCTCGCGATGCTCGAAAGTTCATTGAAGTTTATCAGTTAGGAAAATCCAAATTAATTTTTTCGATGGCTGACCGATTTCAAGCTTCAGTGCTGCCAGTTATATATGACACGACGTCTGTATATTCTCAGATAATGACTGCTAGTACTGTCAGCTCTACAAATGAGGACGATTCAGTTATTAGATATGTGCCACAGAAAGGTCAATGGCAAGGTGGAGACGAAATTTTAATGGTAATTCCAAAACTTGACAAGAGAAAAAGTAGATTATCTATATTTGTTTTATTACTTAACAAAAAGTTTTCTTTGTTTTTTTCTTTCAGCATGTAAAGTATATTTTGAAAACTCATCATCAAATGAAAAAGAGCAAGTTAATGTAGAATTCGTGGATTTGAAAACCATTGCATTTACAACTCCACCATGTCCATTAAAAATGACTGACAACGGAAAAATAGAAATTCCTATTACTATTACTCAAAGTGGTGAAGAAATCGCACGTGTCAGCTTTTGCTATGAATCATGTATAAATTAGCATGTTTTGATAGATTGAAAAATTGTTTTTTTTTTAGGTGATAAATGTTTAAACTGCAATACTGCACCTCTTTTCGATGCTTTTGCTGACTCAAACATGGACGGCCAATCGTCGATGTCTACAACGTGCTTTGACGAAGGAGATGATCTTTTTCAGAGTCATGGTTTGTTTAGTTATGTGACCTATTAAATTAAAATTATAAAATTAATTTTAATAGATCACAATGCACAAAGAGAATCGGACTCATCATGACGTCAAAATATTCAACACCGTATAGATAGTTGCTCAACATGTCAAGTGAAGCCGGCTTTTTTATTTTTCTATATCGTATGGATTTTTTTTACTTCTACATGACGAAACGTTTACTGTTTTCTTCTCATTTAAAAAAAAACATACAAAAATACGTACCTCTTACGTTTCTGTCAAAATGCAATATGCTTATATATGTGATGGGAGACTCACGTTTTTTGTAATGTGTGTAGGAAGGCGAGACATGCAGCCCACATGCACTTCAGGTTTGTTTTTAAGTTTGTTAATTTAAGTTCTTTTTCAATTTGCATAACGTGAATGAGACAAACGCATTCCAATGAATAACTAGAGAATGAAAGTCGGCAATTCGAGACGTCACTAAATAGGATATTCGCCAGGTAGCTTGATATCTCGCTGTCCTCTAGTCTGAGTCAAATTCTTGCTCACCATGACTCATGTCTATTGGCGTAAGTACTTCATCGTTCGAGCTTGCACACTATCAAGAACACAATGCAGATAAGATACCTGTCAATAGAATCCACTAAATAGCGAAATAAAAGTATTTAGGCGAGTTGATTTTTATTTCGATAAGAAAACAGATAAAAGATGGTTTGTCATTTGTACATTTTTTTCTTTGATAATAACAAAAAAAACAGTAATTATCCATCAAATTCATAATAGACAGGTAAATCCTATCTCTCTCTCCAATCGAGCATGTTGATCTCTACACCTGTCTAGTATGACCAATTGCGTCTGTGGTAACTTTTGTTTTGAATGGGGTCAATATCGTTTCGTCTATTTGATACACGTATAGAAAAACAATACCATAATTCTATTGTACTACCCAAGTAATTAGTTATCATGTCTACGAACATTGTTTGAAATGTATATACATATTATTTTAACAAAATATAACCTTGGTCTTCATTTACTTGCTGTCTGTCACTGGTTACCTAAGAAAAGTGATCCATTTTGTTGTGATGTCATATTCACTTATTTTTCTGTCCTTCGCTTCTTTCCTTCTTTTTTTTTTAAATAAATATGATTAGTCTGAAGTGTTTCGTCTGTGATGATGGTAATAAAAAGCTTCAACTCACATAATATGAATGTTTCAATGAAAGAAATTCCTCGCCAGAGCCACATTGAAATAACTGTCAATAATAAATCTAATTTTAAAGTCACATGGTCCCTTAAAGTAAGAATCCAACATATGTTTTCGTTGACCTTGAAAAATGCATGGTTGTTTACAAATTTACACGAGAGATTACTGTAGAAAAGAACATTTCTATTATTTACAGTAGAAGTTCAGTAGAAAAAAATATATTTTCGAACGATAGAATAACGCATATTAGTAGAAGAAGAAGAAGAAAATACAATCGAACTGAGAAATATCCTATTCTGCTTTTTCCTATATCTTGTTTTTTTTTATTGACTACAGTGTTCTTACGTATCCAGTGAATATATTAAATTGTTTTAACCATTGTAAAAAGTATTGTTATTATTATTATATTAAACCAATAAATGGCGATGATATACGGTAATACTTGAAAACAAAGACTTTGCATTTATTTATTTATGCCATTTTAGATCCGAATAAAATTTCTGCAGAAGATGTAGGTTTCGATGAAAAGAAATGGGAAGCTTTGATTAATTCTGATGAAGTTATTAATGAATCATTATCACAGCTAATCGACACTTCAAATGATGATATCGATAGAACAGATATTGTAAAGTCATCAGTGAATAACTCTAAAAAATCAACTTTTATCAATAGTGATATATTGATTCATGTTGGTCGACCAATGACTATTCTTATTGGACCTTCGTCTAACCAACGTGTTCGATATGAAAATGAATGCGAAAAAATACTTCGATACCTTTCTATACCTAATACAAGAACAATGACCATAGCAGTAGATTAACAATTAGCTTTTTTTTGTTTATTTTTTGTTTATCAAAACTGAATTTAAATAGATTCCTGATCTTCGTCCTATGCTTACTGTAGGCGATTGTGTTTGGATGCGTATAACACGAACGACGATTAATCACCGAAAGGATAATCTTATTTTTTATCATCCATATCCAACATGGATAAAAGATAAAAATGCTCGAATTCATAATGGGTCAATATTTATTCAAATTAGTGACAAAGACATGGAGAATCGTTTTATCGAGTAAGTCTTTCTTTGGAAAATAAAATAAAATGTTACGATCATTCTTTTTTTCCTTTTCAGAATCGATACTTTAGCTTTACTACGACTTAAACAAGATGATTTAGCTAAAATTAACACATTAGCAATTTTTTCACAGACTCAACTTCTTTGCTCTTGTGAGAAACTAGATTAAATCGCTCGCATTATATGTTCGAATTTTAGATACGCATTCGATCGGTCCTGCAACACCAAAACATATAAGAGATGAATACAAACTTCGACAGTCAATTTTAAATTTTCAACTTGTACGAGTTGACCTAAACAATATTGCGTTTCTTACTGATTCTTGTTGTCACACAGAGCCTATAAATGAAATAGAAGGTAACATTTCTTTCTAGTTATTAATACAGATTCATATGAATTTGCTATATTTTTTTCAGCAAGTGGTAAACAACCCATCATGAAATCAGACAGAGAACATCGAACTAGACCAAAGATATACAAAAAATTGAAATCTTAATGGAAACAAAAGTATGAAAATTACCACTAACTAGGAATTATATCTAATAGGAATATTGGACTGTATCATAATGTCATAATGTGCTGACAAAATAATAGATCCATTTGATAATCATGCAAAAATAGGTGTTTAATATATATTTATTGAATTATAAGAATTTTTATTTTCATAAAATAAATAATTATGTAAATGCAATTTCTTCTGAATGCATGCATACTGCAACATGGAGTGTATTTGAAAATGGTGATACTTTGCTTATTTAGATTTAATTCAACTATAGGACATTTAGAAAGCAAATAAAAAAAGAAAACAAAATTTCTTAAACGATTAGAAGAGCTCAAATGAGTATTTTTAATGATTTTTCGATGTGGATCAAGTTAAATTTCATGTAGTACAATCTTATTTTCATTCTAAATCAACAACTATGATGTCACTAAATAGCAAGAAAGATTCCTAAATTTTAACCGGAAACTAATCATTTGTGTAGACGGCTAGATGACTCTTGGATAAGTGAACCACTTTGATTTGAACTGAGCAATCTTGAGTTTGACTTGTCGAATTAACTTACAATTACAAGAAAATAAGATGTGAATAACATGTATGTTCATCGAGCAATAATTCTGATAATATTAATAAATTATGAAGTGAAAAAGAACATATTGGTCGCACACATGTGCATGTCGACTTTTATTTATCGTCGTATTAAGAGAGTCAATAAGGAGAACATAGAAGAGTATTGAATTAACCTGAACTTGCTCACTCAGTCAAAATGCATTATTGTCTTCATTTTACCGTCGAAAATTCAAATTCTATCTGTTTTCTTATATGAAATTTAAAACTCAACATAGGAGTAGAAGTTCTAATTGTTTATAACAAAGGTGATGAAACCAATTATTTTATTTAATTAGTATTTTGTAAGGACAAATTGGGAAAATCTTCCTCTAATATGATCAAAACTTGGTGATATCAGTGAGACAATAGACATATTTCATCTGAAAATGATGAAACTCTGTGAAAAATCATCTTTAACTAAGCAATTTTGTTCACTAGAATCAAAAACGATAGGATAACGAATTTCATACTCTGAATTACAATTATAAAATAGATTGAGCTGTCGATATGTAAACAAAAACAGTTTTGAATCAGTAATTCAATCTTGTAGGACAGTTTTTTGTGAAATTGTGATATTTTAACTGTTCTTCTCATTGATATTTATATCGAGACGCTTTTTCGTAGGCAAAAATATTTTTTAATAAAAAGTCGATATTTTTCAACATCTTCTGTTTGATGGTTATAATCAGGTTAAAGATTATTTATCAGCACTAAGATAGAAAGAACCAATGATATTTTAGTAAAAAACATATTTTGAACATGAAATCTTGAGGGTTTGGATGAAGATCATTCATTTACATCGACACCCACACCCGCAATATATAAAAGTTTACTTTGTTCGATCTTTTCATCAACTCGTAAAATAAGCGATTCTCTTTGGTGACACTTAGCAATAATGAAAAAAGTACGAGCTTTGCGTGTTGAAACTTTAAATTATGTCATGCATCTAACTTGTGAATCATATTTATCATTAAATAATTTGTTTTCAGCTACTAAATATCGAAGAAATAAATATAGAGAACTAGATTATTATTATTATCACTTACAATACAAATAGCTTCTTGATTAAATTGTTGTCAAGTGAGAAGAATAGCTGTATCATTACAAGAATATTAACATTCTAACTGAAAAATATAACTGAATCTTGCAAAGGATAAGAACGAGATATAAGAAGATATTTCTTGTCCATCGGTCAAACGGGTATCAGTGGCAGTATTTATCCGAATAATATGTTCTGGAACATTAGTAAAACGTTTTAAAATTAATTCAAGTTCAACAAGATTCCAGTTATGAGAAATGATCGCAAACAAAAATATCTTATTCCATCATTAAATCATTTCAGCGCATCTAAACACAGAACAAAACACAAAATAAAAACAAAAATGAATAATGAAATTTAATGTAGAAAACTAGTCGCAAACTCCTTCACATAGAAAAGGAAAATTCCAATAGCAAATAATACTTATCTGTACGTAATTTTGTCAGACAAAACCATTTCGTTGTAGTTCAAATTGACAAATATAAGGTTTTCTCTGCATTTTGCACAAACAAACATCTCCATCACACAAGTAAGTAAATCCTACAAGAAGAGAACAATATCTACTTAAAGAGAATTATTATTTGAATACACGTTTTTGATACGTAACAGAAGAATAAATCTAAATGCACTACTGATCTCTTGGAAATCACACTAAAAATATCATCAAAAAGAATAAGTATGCAGTGTGATCCTCAGAAGAACTTCAAATACAACTAGAAACAAAGACAAGAAAAATACTAGCGCAATATTTTCGTACATATATTCAGAGTGTATGAGGAAAACAATCGTACTCTACTCTTGATCTATCCTCAGATGATAAGTCAGTGAGATATCGATCAAAATATGAGACAACTTACATAATAGTGAAGATTCATGACTTTTATTCTAAAATAGAAAAGAGTACTTCTATAATAAAAAAAACTAACCATATACGAGAAATCATTTAAATAAATTTTTTCAATAACTCACAAGAGCATTATAATTAGAGACATACTTCTATGAAGTAATCGAACCAAAAATTGTAACAGCGCAATCAGTAGAGGTAAATGCGATAATTATGTTTACCAGCTATCAAAACATTGCTTCTACAGCTAGAAAAAAAGAAGGGAATAAATTAAAAATATATAAAAATCAGTAGGATAAAAAATATTTATAAAAAGTAAAATAGATGAAATAAAGATTATACTTATGTATTGGAATAACCTGATCAATTGATTGTCATGTATGACTTGTGTTGCAAGTATTTCGAAAAATGTTGTTTATATAACTAAACAAATAAAAATTTAAATTAGATAAACACACTGTTTAACATATTGGTGAATTGATAAGATAGAAAAGAATAATGGGAGTATTTTAATAGCCGCTTTTTGTCAAAGCGAAGAATATTCAACCTTTCACCGTGGAGTAACATATCCTTCACACGAATCGTGTAGTAGTCTACCCCTCTTTATTGAATAATGAACCGTTAGTTAAATTCCGTAGATTATTCTACATTTATCCGTTTAATAATAAACTCTTTGGGTTAAAATAAAGGATAAACAACCCTTTAAAAAATTTCAGAAACCCTTTGAAAACTAATGTACCCAAGGGGGGAAAGCGCGACTTCCGTACTTCACTCGTACTCCCTTTTATTTCCCTTGTATGTCCCTGTACTTCCATCGTACTTCCATCGAACTTCAAAAAAATTTTGAAGTAGATGAAGTCGCGCTTTTCCCTCCCCCCTTGAATGTATCCCTCCGGTCAAAAACACTCCTGCTCATGAACCCGCCAAAGAGTTTATGTTATGTGGATAAATCCTTGACGGATTTGTGAATCAAAAAAATCAAGGACAATCGTTGATTATTCAACGCCTTCTTTTTTTACAGTATATGGGCTCTTATTGTGCAATCATTTTCACAGCGATATATATATATATATATATACACTCTAAATAAAAATTGTTTTTCCGGGAACCCCGGAAAATAGGTTTCCAGGCTGATTCCGAAAACCTGAATACGCTTCCGGACTAATCTCGGATACCTTTAAAAGGTTCTTGGAGGGAAAAAAATGCGTTTCCGAGCTTTGGAAACCTTAAAAGCGTTTCATATAGTGACAAACCCGAAAACGTTGAAGGATTTCCGGAAAAGTGGCAGGGTTTCTGGATTTTTGGAAACGTATCACTTTTTCCGGAAACTCTGAAGCGTTTCCGGGTCTGTCACTATATGAAACGCTTTAATAGTTTCCGAAGTCCGCAAAACCTTTTTTGCTCTCCAAAACCTTTTAAAGGTTCCCACGGTGAGTCTGAAAACCCTTTCGAGCATAAAAAAGCCCGGAAACCTTTTTTGTCGGTTTCCAAGAAAACGAATTTTATTTCGAGTGTACTTTGATAAGATTAGAATGACAGTTTTCATATCAATAACATATGAAACTTAATTTTATTTATCCGTAAAAATGTTTTGAGTATTATGTTTTCTCAAGTGTCGATAATTTGTCTGGAATATATTATATAAATCTTTAAAGAGAACAGAACGGGATTACGTTTTTACAAAATTATAGAATCTTTAAATTAGTTCAAATGATGTAAAGCTTTGTTTTGAATGCGAGATCACACAGCACATGCGACTCTTGCCTATATACATTATTGAAGATTCAATATGAATCACTGCAGACATTGTCTTTCAGTGTTTTTTTGCGGTCGGAATTTTCCAGGAAAAGAAATCTGACTCGTTCTGTTCCTTTTTGTTGTTCGTTCGGTAATGTTTTATGGTTGTGATGTTTTTTCTTCCTACTAATTACTTTTTACATTTAATGCGGTAGGTGATATATAAACATTTCCTTGAAGACTTATTATACACAGATAAATTATTTTTATCATTGTATGAAAAACTAATTTATTAAGATGCTATTTATTTTCAAAAACCATTCAAAGAGGAGAAAAAGATTAATTTTTCTCACTAATTTCAGATAAATAATACTAAATAAACATGATGTATCAACCATACGACGGTAAATTAAAATTTAAAAGATAATGACTGTTTTAACTTGTCATGCTGATTTTAGTTTTGTCTTATACATTGGATGAGAATGAATATCATCATCTTGACACTGAACTGTCGGTTCGTACTATTCCGCCAGTCATACATACTAAACCTAATAGTGACTTCCATATATATCCCGAAAACTCATCGAACGGATCGTTAACCAAGAATACTGCTTATGTTTCGACGAATCAAATAATTGGCTTAGGTGTAGTTTCATCGCGTAATTTTTTTTCTATTTTCAACGAATCATTATTTCTCGATGATCACTTAGATGATAACCCTATACAACATATTTCGGAAGGTATTTTTTAAATATGTTTTAAAAATCAATAGTTGAAATTAAATTGTATAGATTCTGCCAATGCAGTTTCACTGACAACAACTAGTATGGGTTTGTAGTATTATTCTTATTTGCTATTGTGAAATTAATTTTATTACTATAGATAATGAAAATAATAATAATAATAATCAAAATATTGATTTTCATACTTCATCAGAATCGAATTTGACTGAAGATGAAAATTTTGTCAGTATAATCTATTTCATATAAGCATTACAATCTTATTTGGAAATAGTTTTGTTTAGATATCCGATGAAGATAAACATATCTTTGAACAGTTTTATGACGAATTTAGTTTAGAAATGATTGACGCATCAATTCAACAACGAACAATGGTGATTAAAAGTCAACCCCCGAAAACGATTCGCCATCGTTATAAAAGCGATGGAAAACGTCAGATAGAAAAGTCTCGTACAAAACCTATGGTTGTTGGAGTACGTCTTTTTTTCTTTGCACTTCATCTCAAATCAATTTTGTCTTTAGTTACCCAACTTAAAAGATATTCAATCAGATACTGATTCATTCTTTTGGCTTCGACTTATTCTGATAACCAACAGTAAAAATCCAACGGATGAAGTATATTTTCATCTTAACAAGCTTAAGTATCATTCTGATGATGTACAAGAACTCGATGATCAAACTGTTTGTATTCCTTTGACTAAAACTGATATTATAGAAGAAGAAAAAGTGTAAGAAGTTTCATTTCAATGAAAAATTTTCCTAGATATCTGTTGTTTAGACTTTCACGTCTATCATTAATCAAAACAACATTAGATGAGTACAAATCGGAATTGATTCCATATGACTTATCGAAAAGTAACTATGAATCGCACGAAAGTAAACACTATACTTTTATAATGTGTCGATAGTGTGGAATTTAAGAAAATTTTATTTTAGGATACTTAGATAGAGTAGTCGAGTTACCTATAGAGTGTTTTTTTAACTGTCATCTAATTAATATATATAATAATATGTATATATTCCATAAGTCATTTTAGTTTTGTTAAATTAGATGCCCGCAAAGGCGAAACAAGTGAAATATCGAAGCGAGAGGCCAAGGAAGTTTTCAAAAAATTTAACCTGAAAGCTAGCCGAATCGTTTGTCAATTATTAATAAAACAAAATGAATTATGGCATTATACAAATATTGCATGCGAAACAAACGTTATTGAAGACAGTGAGCGAATGCAAGAATCTTTTTTTATAACAAACATACATTTTATTATTTTTAGAAGATCAGAAGTATACACCTAAAATGCGATCACCAAAGAAAATGAACAACAAGAACAATAAATTATTACATGAACGTTCAATGTCATCGAATGTTAGATTAAAAAAATAAAATAAAATTTTTTTATTGATCGTTATTCGATGGGTTTTCTACTACTTATTATAGATGATGCACGACTGTAGCAACAAAAACATGTTTGTTCACGGGTCTCATCTGCGTTTTTCATTTTTTTCTTTTTATCAAGAAACATTTTGATTTCTAAGGCGATGAATTTTTTTACAAAAACAAAACTTATTTTCTTGAATTCTCCACAAGAAAATAAAAATATGATTTTAATTGAGAATGCATTAAGCGTCTAGACTTTTAATTGACTCTTTCATGTTACTATGTGCAATTACTATGGAATTCTACCATTTGTGACATATTGAAGATGTACTCTGTGACATTTTAATATATGTCTGCTGATTCAGTCTATCTTGACGAGTAATTTCTGCGAACTTCACTATTATCGATAAGTTTAACAAGATAAACGACGATGATTATAATGACTTGTTGAAATATTTTTCAGAAGTAAAACGATCATAAGCAAAGCGTTCAATTTCTCTTTGAAATATAAACAAATAAATAATAGTATTTGAAAGAAGAATATTTTACTTCAAATTTCCAAATCAACACTACATGAGCTCATGAAATTTTCCACTAACAATATTGATACGATTTTTAATGCGATATCTTGTCATGTACTCTCAATTGTTGTACAAACATTACAAAGTTCTGTGAAGAATAACCATATAATATATATATTGCTTTCTTTTGAACGTTTCCCGACACATTTATTAGATCTGAGAAGAATTCAATACATTCTTCTTTAATTTTACTCGTATTATAGTGTTTTTATTCAAATTTACCTAATTTATCATGAAATATATAACTGAAATTAAGATCTAGACATCTTTAAAGAGTTTGCTACTGTGTTGATACCCCCAAAATTTTACACGCCAGACGTTATTATTGCGAAAGTCAACGTTTTACGTTGTATTTCGCAATTTTTTTCTTTATGTCGAATATTTATTTATATATATTTTGAGAGATTGGTTTATTTTGTAATCAGTAATAAAAGATAAGCAGCAGTCGACAAAAATAAATATTTTCTTTGACTGTCTCGCCATACTTCCTATTTATTTTTTATTACATAAGTATCCCAGTAATATATTGCATCGTATGAGAATACGTGTTTTTTTTGTGTTCTGCCGTCATCGACAGACGCTTTTATGTTTCTCTTTCTTTTTTTGTCAACATTTTGTAATGTTACTAATAGAAAGAGAAAAACATCTACTCGCCCATAATGGGACGCTATAATGTTAATATAAATTTATACGTTCCTCTATAAATTCAATTATTTTTACGTAAAATTTAAATAAAATATTTATACTGGCACAATCATCGATAATGGAATACTCGAACACACACGTTGAGGATGATGTTGAAACCACTGGGTCAACAATAATGGCTAGTCCAACCACTTTAGATTTTAACGAATCTTGGGTAACTGATCTACTCCCAGAAGAATTATTACCTGGCGATTTATTTCCAGAAGGACTATTACCTGGCGATTCATTTCCAGAAGGACTATTACCTGAAGACTTATTTCCAGCCGACTCAATTCTAGACGATTTGTTCACAGACGGAAACTTCTGTCGTGCTACAGATACAATTCATCCAAGCAATAGTAAGTTGAATCATAATATATTATTTAAAATCCTGTGATTTTTCTTAGATCTACCAGTAAACGATAATAGCCCAAATCAATGGTTACCGCCATTGCAATCGGCCAATGACAGTCATACGTGTCTAACAATCAAAGATGGGTCTATTGCATCAGAACTTTTGCACATTCCATTGGGTTTGTTGTATTTAATTTTTCAATATTTTATTTACAATATTTTGTTTTTATAACAGATGAGCAACGAGATACTAGTGTAATCATTGATGATGGACTAGTTGGTGACAATTATAATACATGTCAAAGTCCCGATTTTAAAAATACTCTGGTGTTTCAACAAATAATTGGAGACCAAAATGGAACTGCGTACGGCATGAATCCGTCTATTTTTGAAATTATTGATGGCATCATGTCGATGAAACAGCAACCAAAAGCGAACAAACGTGTTCGTTATGAAAGTGATGGTAGACGATTTCTACCGGATTCCAGATATCATCCAATGTCTTTAAATGTGTGTTTCATTTTCTTCGCAAACAAATAGTTGTATCATTTGGTGTTTTTGTTTTCAGTTACCCAATTTACAGCTCATTACATTAGCTGACAATCAAACTCTTGGCGTCATCATAACGATCGTAACGAGTATCGATAATCCAAACTATTCAACCTACGTACATGCAAACGATATTATTTATCGTGACGAAGGGGTTATTCAAATAGCTCATGGATGCTGTTTCGTTCCTTTGAAATCAAAGGATATAAAAAATGGCGTCAAGGAGTATGAACACTAAAAAATAAATATAACAATTTCTATGAAAGTCTTTAACTTTTAGATTCCCACGATTATCAATCGTATATAAAAAATATATTAATTATACGTTTGATGTTACACCGTTTGATCCACAAACAATGTTTGGCATAACACAGACTTGTCCGTACTTTTATTTTCGAATATTTATTATTATATCCATTTCTTTCTCATGTATAGATATAGTTCCCAACGATAACACGATGGAGAAAGTTGCTAAAGGCAAACTATTTAAAATAGATTTTAATTTAGCTTCATACAAATTGATTTTTCAACTTGCGTTGAAAGAAAATAATTCAATACATATATCAAATATTTCATGTCAAACTGAAGATATCCACGAACGTAAGTTTTACCTTATAGAAACAAAATAATAATAATAATATCAAGAAAAAATTTTAATTTTAGAACTACCAAAAGAAATATCCGGTAAACGAAGAGTCTCAGATTCACCTGAAAATTATTCAGACGATGATATAGAGATCGAATTAAAAAATTTAACTAAATCGAAAAAATTTAAATCATCAACACCACGATTTGGTGAACTTCCGGTAAATATATTTTTATTATATAAAAAATTCATCAGCAGAAAAGTCGATACAGATATATAGAATTAACAGAATTGCTTATTTTAGGTGACAAGAGTTTCAAACCGGTATACAACAGAATCCGATATCAATGATCAACAGTGATTCTTGCCGAAAGGCCTCCTCCGCGGCTAACGCAATCTATTTTTGCATTAGCTTTTGCAAAAACAGTTGAATGATCGAGAGATTGTTTTTGTTTTGTTTTTGTTTTTATCATTAAATGACACAATTTAGTCGAGAAAATTACCCAGTGATTCTTTGTATTTAACATATTTTCGAATTTTTGTTATTTATACAATGAGTGTATCAATAAAATTGTACGATCATTTATTTCATTTATTACTACATAACTATCCACCTATTTGACTCCAAATATGTTTATTTGCTGGGACTTTTCCTGTTCAAAGTAGATGCAAGATTTCTTGCGAAGCTCATATCTTTCACTACTTTGTTTTTTGCTGTGATTTCAGGTGAGTTGGCTAAGTAAATCATGACACAATAATCTAATAGTACGCAAATGTGACAGAAAGGCGAAAAGAAAAATGTCAACAAAATTCAAGTTGGAAAATTCCGACAGCCCCAAAATACTTGATGTGCAAATATTCTAACAATAATAAAATCACTATATAAGCATATGCAGTTTTACCTCACATAATGTTAGCAAAATCATTTTTAAAGATCCTCTTCAAAACCTGTTTTTTATACTACATAAACTGAATTAACATTTTTTCTATTGCTTTTTGGTAAGCCTTGGTTATATTCTTTACATACGTCATTCTGAAGTAAAAAACAGAATCTTAGTGTATACATGATTCATTATCTTGTTTATTTTTGTTATATGTTAGTTGGAAATCTTTTTTATTTGAAAAATCATTTTAGAGTATAGTAAAGTGAAAAAGAGCATTATAACGCTAATTATATTAAAATGATTTATTTTTAGGCATGGATACTCATCCTTATGCAACTGACGATCTTGGCCAGCTTTTCTACGATAGTAAATAATATATATATATATATATATATATTTTTTTTTTATTTCTTTACTTTTTCCTCCAGATTCAACTTCATTAGAATCAGTAAATGCAGAGACGAATATTTCAGCTAGCAGTATGAAACTGCTGTTTTCTTTCGGCACTGTGCTTTATTGAATTTATAGGTACTCTTGTTGAATACGATTACAATCCATCGGATTCATTTTCTGACACTGTCTCCCCTGGTATTCATTGATTTTAATGACTAATAGCATTTTTACTTTATTTACGTGTGTTTTTCTGATTTAGAGTCAAGTATGAAAAATTGTTTTCATATCATCAATATAGATTATCGATTGAAATCTGTTCATCTATAGGTTTACCCGACAACATGGATACATGTATAAAGGAACTTATTGAAAATTTCAAATCGACAGAATCAAAAACATTACAACTTGTTTACCCTCTAGAAAATACATATCGAGCACGCTACAAAAGTGATTATTTCCCACAAAATGGTACTGTTCGGAGACCACGTTACATAGCTGATAATAGATGCAATCATTTTATAACATTACGGGTAAAAACAACATTAATAATAACACATAATATTCTTATCTATTTAGCTGCCAACAGACTATAAAAATGAATTAAAAAATGATTATGTGCGTGTTGCATTAATAACGATATTTATTGAAGATCATGGACATTATTATAGCCCATATAAATTTCAAAAAAACCATGATGATATTAACGTACCTGATGAAAATCCGATTTACATTAAAATAGATGATAGTCGACAGACAAAATCTATCATTCAGTAAATAGTTTTCGAAAGAAATTCTACCATTTTCGATAAGATTACAAATTAATTTTTTCTAGACTACAACTTGTTTTAATTAAATCTAAATTAGATCAGCTTAATTATGTTCAACCCTTAAGACCCTTTTCTGATACAAATGCTCGTATACAAAGTGAGATTCGGTTAACACAACTTGTTTCATGTTTTTTGTTCTAAATTTAGACATAAATCATGAAGAACAATTAACACCAAAAGATTTAATTAATAGATATCAGTTAGAAAAATCTCATCTAGCATTTACATTATGTGCAAAACTTTCGAATGGTTTTTACCAAATGCACCCAGAAACAACAGTTATATCATCAATTATTACTGAAATACCAACAGTAAAAAAGCCAAGTGGTATATTATTATTCTTTCTATCTGAAATCTGAATCGTCTTTTATTTTGTTTCTTTTAAGAAACAACTGCATTATTTTCATCGGGTAGACCCGTATTTTTCTTATTTTAGATTTTATCAAGAACGTTTTTTGTTGTTTTGAGATAATACGAAACACAGTATTTCTTGTCCAGTTTGTGCACACTGTTTCGACCCCGATACACCTTTAAAATTACCGGAAAGAAGCCTATGTAAATCAAGCCATGAAGCATCATATTCGTATTCGAAAGTGAAGTTAAGAAATTTTTTGTTCTTAAAAAATTATAATGCAATATTTACAGACAGATGGGCAAATACGTGCAAATAAAAAGAAAAAAAAATGAATAGCAACCAGTAAAGTGCATCTTATACCGATTCTGGTTTGAGATGTATTATATGGTCAAGAACCCAATAGTTATCATATCTGGCATCTTTAGTATTTTCTGACGTTCTTTACTGCTACGATTAAACTCCTGTTTTCTCTTTTGCTTGATATAAACAGCTCGCATCCAAAAATAAAACTGAGTGTACTAGTGATTCGATTGCATGACTTTTCAATTGTTGTTTGATGTATTTTAGTTTTACTGAAGTCAAAAAGGAACTGATGTGAAATTCGATGCATGTCTGACTCATCTGAGTGTTTTTTTAAAACTATGCTCGAATACAAATCACAACTTTTTATAAAAGACGATTTCTCTTGAATGATGAATAATTGAAGAGAAAATCTAAAATTTTCTTTTCATACAGACCTGTCAGCAAAATTGTTATGCATCAGTTAAGAAACGTCTTGCTAATACTAAATTTCATTTACCATACATACTACAGGCTTGAAAAATTCTTGTGGGCCTACTCCGGCAAGAATATCGATTAAAAGCCGTTAGTTCTTTGGTGCTTGTTTAAGAACGGACAAAATATGGTGACGAACGACAATCTTATCGTTTCAATAAGATTTCAAATCTAATAAGTAGCTACAAATAAAACTTTTTGATTGCTTTTGATTAAATCTATAACGCATTAAGCCTGTTATTTTTTCATATAACTGATATGCAGTTAAGGATCTTTACGCATTCTATGCATACACAAATAATGGCTTACCTAAATATTTTTAATATAGTTTGATCATTATTGTGCTGTAAATAGCTCTGTTATTATCGTTTAGTATTAGTTTAAGACTTGTAATGAGTTTTTTTCTGAATTTAAATATTCATCCAATGAACTATTACAGAGTTCTACTATCAAGAATAAACTTTAGCTACAAGAGAAATAGCTCACAGTTCTCAAAAGAAAAAGACTCATACAGTTCCACGAGTTTAACTTTGTAGATAAATGAAGTATACCATTCGATAATTCATAGTCAACAACCAATAAAACTCTTTTGTTACCAAAAACGCATGCTGCCGTAGTTGGTTTAAGGCAAGAGGTCTGTTTACTACTGTAAATATAGCATGCTTTTTGAATAAAAAAAAAGTAATTGAAATCACAAAGTCAGGCGTTCAAAGAAAAAATCTCTAAATATGTTTTTCAATTCAAGTTTGAAAACAATTGTAATTCAAATTTACTTCAAAGAATAATTGATCATTATAACAGTAAAAGCGAAAATGCCATAATACAACGTAACGTACTCCTTGGCGATGTATAAACTGTCAACTGTCATCGAGAATTTCTTAGATATTACAAGTCTACTATTGACTTGTATCAAGTTATAATTTTTGGTGTCGCGCATAAGTAAGCCTGCTTGATAATAAGTCTAAATACTTTAGTATGTTCATGATATACTGAAATTCTCGAGTACCATGCAATATATGGTTCTTATTACGAGAGAAGCTTAGATAGACTTAATTTTGTCGGAAAGTAGATTAATAGTAGACTTGAAATATCTAAAAAGTTGTGAAAGGTACTTTTAAAACTAATCAGAATCAAGCTGAAATCATACTAAGTTTATGAAAAATTCAAACAATTTTTTAACTCTATAATTTTAGCTTTCAAACTAGATATCAGCGTCCAATAGTTTTTCTAAAATCTTCACTGGAAATAAAAGCCGAATTCACAAACTTGTTAATAATAATACTGATTAAAAGAAGTAGACGATATATATGTTTCTCATTGGTTTTTGTGAGTTAATTGCGAAGCTTTCTAATGAGAGGCTCTCATTCTAATCGTTTAATGTTTTTACTTCAAATTTTATTTATCAATATTTTGCATTTTCATTTAAATGTTGACATATGAACAAGTGAAGATGTATAGATTTCTTTGAGAAATCAAATAAAATAGAATTTCGCTCAACTAGTTTATCCGCATAAACAAAAAGGCATTTCTTTTTCTTCTTTTTTTCTATCATGAGGAGACACGTTTCTCTTTCTTAGTCAATATTTATTCTGTATCTCTATTGACGTTTCAAAAAATAAATGCACATAACAGTAGCATGGCAACAAATATTATTTTCTTGTTCACTATTTCGGAAGTAGTTCTATAACCAAGGAAACTATGTTTGTAAATATAATATCTGATCATTTATCTGCTTGTCCCTCTCTACAAAAATAAAGAAATAAAAATAAAAAGTACCTTTGATTACGCACGTTTTTCTTGTGTTATTCTTTTTTGTTCTCGTGTTCTGTTCTTCTACTTCCCACAATAAAAATGTCGCTTGGAAAAAACCCGATAAACAGGTTTTTCCCCACTATTAATGTACATCCGAAAAATAAAAGATTTATTTATATTACAGACAATCAATGGTAAGAAATACTTGATAAAAAAAATCATGACTATGCAAAAAAATCTTACTTATAGATCGCTATTTAAGCAATGTATTTTTATTTTTTTAATGCCTTCACTAACTGGCTTGTATACGTAAACAACAAAGAACGATGAGCTCGTGGAATTCGTTACCCTTTATGAGTTCTGATAATATATCTGTGGAAGCTAATAGCGACAGCTTCTATGCTGATCTAAATCTATACAGTCCGACGTTCGCTGACCTTGTCGATTCTATATTCGGCTCCGAATCAATCCCGTTTGAGTGTAATATTGCTGGTGTCTGTGATTCACAAAATCTAATCGGTAGGATTAGAAAGATTTGCGATTAAATTAAATTTTTATATTCAGAGGCGATTAATCCATGCGTGGACATAAATGATTTTGATAAATATATTGAACAATCAGTGGTATCAAGTAATACAGTTCAAAATTAAAAATTGTTGAATAATACTTGCTTTTCAGATCCAACATTGGAAAGTTATCAAAATCTGCTCTTAGCCGATGATTTACCATTTCACACGAATGGTACATAAGATCTAATTTCGAAATCAATATTATTCTATTTTATGTAAATAGATCAAAATGAAAATGTAAACTCACATAAAGAACCAATTTTCCTTTCAACCTCCGTTGATGTAGGCGTACCACAAAGATCATCACAATGTTCTCATAAAATTGAAATCGTTCATGAGCTAGAAGAAAAATTTCGGCCTCGATATAAAAGTGATTATTTTGCTCAAAATGGGACAAAACGAAAACCAAGATATGTGGCGGACCGCTTCGGCAACCATTACATAATGCTCCGAGTAAGATATTGATATCTTCTCGTTCTTATTATTTTAAACAAAGGAAATTCTAGGTGCCTATAGGTATTTCTGGTCAAATCCAAGTCGATTGGGTAACACTACCTGATGAAAGCAACGCTCGATACTATATGCCATATAAATTTCAAGTGGATAATGAATCGACTGGAATTCTTGATCGTAATCCTATTTTACTCGACATTAAATCTGATTCTCCAGGAATCATGAAGTAAATATATAAATAAATCCTATTTTGAAACTTGCTTTACTATTCTAAAAATAGAGTTTATTTAGTATTGATTAAAGCTAAACAAGATGCACTGAAATCATTACAGCCACTTGAACGATTTCGTCCACGGAGAGATAATTTTGAAAAAGATGATAAACAAACTTCAGAAAATTTGCCAAAATTAACACCAAAACAATTAATAAAAAAATACAAACTTGCTAGATCACAATTAGCTTTTACATTTTGTACATCAGATCTCGATGGTAGTCCTTTACCTGAATGGGATACAACTATTTATTCAACCATTCTAGAAGGTAAAAACGATACCTCATTCTATGCGCGTAGAAAATTTATTCATTTTAATTAACAGAAGAGACAACTGATAGTTCACAAGAAAAAGTTGTTAATTGTCCACAATGTTTATGTGCAATTAATATTAACGATGGCGTTCTTGTAGATGAAGAAACTGTAGTGGTTGAACGAAAAAATTGCAAACGCAAGAATAAAAAATCAAATCCAATTAAAGTATAATTAAGAGTTTCTCAGAGAATTGTTAAAATAATTTTCAAACCTTTCTGATTTTAGAAACAAAGATCTCTGAACGGCTAATTTATTAAGTTATTTAATCATAAAATTATTAATTATATTTTTCTGTCTTTATACTCATATAATCTAGAGTGATATTTTCTCGATATATTATTTAATATAATGTCATTTTATATTCTCCTATCAATGATGTATGACTAAAAGTCTTTTACTCTAAACAAAGAAACAAAACTCATATGGCGTCATTTTTCGACTCAATAGACAATTGAACAAAGTTGATTCAAAAATTGAACATTCAGACAGCTTTGTTTTTGCACCAACACTTGATAGTTGTTTTCTATTGTTTTGTTTTCACTTTATGTTGAGATACGTCATCACAAAAAATATAATTTTTACGGATTAAAATATATTTTTGGAGAGAATGGAAATATTTACTTTCATAGAATGTTTACTACACATCTAGATAAACAATCATATCCGTGTATTTTAGACGATTGATCTTACAATACCCAAGTGAAAAAATCAGATGTAAGATCTTGCTAAATCAGATAGGATCGTACAAAAAACCATCGTCTCTGAAATCTTACATTAAGACTTGCAATAAGACGCTTCAAAGATCTTACCAGTTCGCGAGAGTTTCTGTAATCTTAGAGGTGTATCTTACGATACAGAAATATCTTTCAAGAATTTGATCTGACGATTTGACGTAAGATTTCAGAGGCTACGATTTTCGTACGATTTTTTTGTCCAATCTTACACGGTCATATCAGATCTTGACATCTGATTATTTGCTCTACGTACCAGAATCGTATCCTCTGAAATCTTACATTAAGTCGTACGATCAGATTCTTGAAAAATCTTACTATATCGTAACATATGACTCCAAAAGTATAAGAAATCTTCTGCAGCAGAACAATCTTTCAAGAGTTTCATTCTAAGAATTGTTCTAAGATTTCAGAGACGACGAGTTTTTGGACGATCATATATTGTGTTGCAAGATCTTATAGCTGATTTTGCGCTGTTGAGATAACATTGTATTTAGTATCTTTATTTCATGCAATCTCCGTCTACGTTCGAAGCACAAGTTTATATACCCAACGAGACAGACAGAGAGGAGGAAAGAGAAATATGAATCAAAGAAAGAGATGAAATTACTGTTGGTCAAGTACAGACTTTTTCGATTACCAGTACTATTCCATGAGTACGCGTGCTAGTATATGTCTGATTCATAAATTACAAATTCTTCACTAGCATATTTTATTTTTAGGTCTCAAAAAGCAGCCTGAAACAAGACTTTATTACACTTGAGAAATTTAAGCAAGCATGCATCTTTTTTCAGTTAACTCTGAGCGATGATGCATTAAAAATCCACTTTGAGGAAATATTCTTACAAAAGAAGTTGATACAACTGGCACCGACAAGTATTTCAGAACAAGTTGATATAAAGAAAGATAGAAACTTTTCTTCAGAAAAAGTAAATCACTTTCATTACTTTTTCCGAGGTAAAAGCATAAAGTTCTTCGAAAATTTTTGCTTTCCTATCAGACGAAAGTATGTTCATCTAGTGCAAGTTAAGAAAAGGGCATTTTCTTTTTGTTATTGAATCTTCCTGTTGACTCAATTTATCGAAGGCATCTTGCTCAACTACCTTAGTTTATCATATCCCTCTTTTTGTGATAAAGAAAGTCTATTTTAAGAATACAAGAGGTATTATTTTTTTCGATGACACAACTGTGCCTTAGCTTTAAGATTATCGAGTCATAAAAATTAACACGCACATCTAGAACTTGCGTAGCAATAAAATTATGATCAGAAAAACGTTCAGCTATAGAATAAGAATCAAATGACACAATCATTTCGAAATAGCGACTACACTAGAATATACATATGTACAAAAAACATACAAAAACAAATAACAAAGATAACGGAAGAAGTGCGTAGGCAGTGCTAGTGACTGTAATGACCGACGGAATTTGTCTTGTTGTCGTAAGAAGGGCCGACCACTGTTGAAAAATATATAGTAATGCAGGACTGACGAGCAATCTATTACAGGCACGGTAATCAGACGCGACGATGGTATCATTATATATGGCCTGTACATGCAATTAATCACTGAGATTAAAGAACAATAAGCAATCACGTTAGCCAGCCGGTTCCGCGTTGGACTTCCGATATAACACACGAATCAGAGACAAAAATCACTCAGCTAAATGGTTCGGTCTCGTCCGGGGTAATGTACTAAAAGGACATATTACCGAAAACCTTTGACAAGTATTCATAACACAAATCTAATTCGTTTCTGTTTACTGAGTGAAGGCAACTAAAAACACTATACTTAGAAGTATTAGCATTCGCACGTCAGAAACAAGCGAACCCAATGTTTTGAAAGCCAATGTATGTAGCCAAGCATGTCCATGTAGCACAGTATCCACATCATATGTCGTGGCGTGTGTGTGTAGACAAGTTAGAGTCATCGTAATGAACAGTCAAGTTGAAATGATAAGCGAAATGTATTGAAAGAATGAGTGTAGGTATATCTCAGAGAAGAGAGAGATATGAAGAAGCTTCGAGAAAAAAAAACAATAATATAATTATACTTTTAATTGTCAATATTAAGCACAAAAACAAACAAGAAAAAAAAGAAATAAACAAGAGTCAATATAAAATCATCGATGATTGTACCGTCGTCGCCCCCTCCCCCTTCAATGTAGTATTCGGTTCTTCATTGTCGTCATACAGAGAAGAAATAGTACGCTTATTTGAATTTTGCAATGAATGTACTTGATACGGAACTTAAAACAAAAATAAGAAACAATACAAATAAGAAAGAAACATCTTGCATTACCTCTTGGAATATAGTCGAATTTTAATGTTTCTAAAAGTCTAGTTTTTTGTGTCAATATAATA